GGGGGTGGTGGTACTCACCTGTAGACCCAGCTACTCAGGAGGCTGAGGCAGAAGGATCATTTGAGCCCAGGAGGTCGAGGCTGTGGTGAGTTGTGATTGTGCTACTCCACTCCAACCTGGGCAACAGAATGAGACCAGGACCAAAAAATAAAATAATAAAATAAATCACTTCAAACGTTTTGCAACAACGATAGTTAAAATGACCAATTATTTACATGGCCAGTGAGTAAATGGGGAAAGCATGCCAATTCTGACAAGCTCACCCCCACCAACACCTCCAATTAATTTCCTCCCTTAGTTGTGTCCTCTTTCCCTTAAACCTTAGCTTTTTTTGCAGTTTCCATTATCTACTGTGCAATGATGAGATTCTGAACAAAGCTGTAAAGGAAAGGACATATTGAAAACTTTAAGATTAAGACCCAGAACTAAAAAAATAGAAAGCTTCACAATTTAGTAATTTGTGTACATTTTCCTTTGCCAAAGGATATGGTAAGAATACAAAGATATGGAAAAGCAGGCAACCTTTAACTGTTTTTATTCTAAAACAATTGTAAGATAGTACAAAGGACTCTGGTATGCTCCTCAACCAAATACAGCAATTGTTAACATTTTGTCATATTTGCTTTATTAATCTCATTCTCTATCTTCTTAGCATTTGTGAGTAAATTGAGGCATCATTCCTTTTACCTCTAAAAACAGGAACACCTCTGAGAAATTGTGGATTCAGTTTCAGAATCCCACAATAAATAGTGCAATAAAGCAAATCCCACAAAATTTTTTTGTTTCCCAGACATATAAAAGCTATGTTTCCACTATACAGTAGTCTATTAAGTGTGCAACAGCATTATGCCTAAAAAAGGTACACACCTTAATTTTAAAATTCTTTAATGCTGAAAAATTCTATCAATCATCTGAATCTTCATTGAGTCATAATCTTTTTGCTGCTGGAGGGTCTTGCCTTGATGTTGATGGCTGCTGACTGATCAGGATAGTGGTTGCTGAAGGCTGAGGTGGCTGTGGTTATTTATTTATTTATTTATTTTATTTAATTTTTAAGTTGGAGTCTCACTCTGTCACCCAGGTTGGAGTGCAGTGGCATACTCACAGCTACCATAGCCTGAATCTGTGGGGCTCAGGTGATCCTTCTGCCTCAACCTTCCAAGTATCTGGAACTACAGGAGCGTACCACCACACCTGGCTAATTTTTTTCATTTTTTGTAGAGATGAGGTCTTGTCAACTTGCCCAGGCTGGTCTCGAACCCATGGGCTCAGGCAATCCTCTTGCCTCCACCTCCCAAAATACTGGGATTAAAGATATGGGCCACCACACCCAGCAGTAATTTCTTAAAATAAGACACCCATGAAGTTTCTTGCATCAATGGACTTTTACTTTCACAGATTTATCTGTAACATGTAATGCTATTTGATAGCATTTTAACCATAGTAGAATTTCTTTCAAATTAGGAATCAATTCTTTCAAACTCTGCCACTGCTTTATCAATCAAGTTTATTTTCTATACTAAATCCTTTGCTGTCATTTCAACAATGTTTATAGCATCTTCCCCAGTAGATTCCATCTCAAGAAATCACTTTTTTTGCTCATCCATAAAAAGCAGCTCCTCGCCGGGCTCGGTGGCTCAGCCTGTAATCCCACGCCTTTGGGAGGCTGAGGTGAGTGGATTGCCTGAGCCCGCGGGTTCGAGACCCACCTGGGCAGCAAGACCTCCTCTCTACAAGAAATCAAAAAATCAGCCGGGCGTGGTAGCGCATGCCTGTAATTCCGGCTACTTGGAAGGCTGAGGCGGAAGGATCGCCGGAGCCCAGCAGGTCGAGGCTGCGGTGGCCGGGAGCAGCCACTGCACTACAGTCTGGGTGACAAAGTGAGTTTCCAACCCCCCCAAAAAAATAAAAGCAGCTCCTCATCAGTTCAAGATTTATTAAAAGATTGCAGCAATTTAGTCACATCTTCAGGGTTTACTTTTAATTCTAGTCCTCTTGCTATTTCTACCACATCTGCAGTTACTTCTCCCACTGAAGCCTTGAGTCTCTCAAAGTTATCCATGAGGGCTGCAATCAACAACTTCCAAACTCCTGTTAATGATTATATTTTTACCTCCTCCTATAAATCACAAATGTTCTTCATTAGATCTAGAATGACAGATTCTCTCCAGAGGGCTTTCAGTTTACTTTGCTCAGCTCCATCAGAAGTATCATATATATAGCAACTATAGCCTTATGAAATAGTTTTGAATAATAAGACTTGAAAGTCAGAATTATGTCTTAATCTATGGGCTACAGAACAGGTGTTATGTTAGCAGGCATGAAAAAAACATTCATCTCCTGCATAGCTCCATCAGGTCTCTTGGGTAACTAGGTGCCTTGCTAATGAGCATAAATGTTTTCAAAGAAATCTTTTTCTGAACAATAGGTCTCCACAGTGGTCTTAAAACATTCAGAAAATCATGTAATAAACCATGTTATCATTCAGGTTTTGTTGTTCCATTGACAGAACACAGGCAGAGTGGGTTTCATGTAATTCTTTTTTTTCTTTTCTTTCTTTTTTGAGTTGGATTCTCACTCTGTCACCCAGGCTGGAGTGCAGTGGCACACTCACAGCCACTGCAACCTCAACCTGCTGGGCTCAGGTGATCCTTCTGCTTCAGCTTTCCAAGTAGCTAGAATTACAGGAATGTACCACCATGCCTGGTTACAATTCTTAAGAGTGCTAGTATTTTCAGAATGGTAAATGAGTACTGGCTTCAATTTAATGAGCACCAGCTCACCAGCTTCATTAGCCCCTAACGAGAGAGTTAGTCTGTCCTTTGAAGGTTTGATTTCTCCCATCTACTCATGAAAATCCTAAGTGACGTCTTCTTTCAATATAAGACTGTTTTGTCTACATTTAAAATCTGTTGTCTAGTGTAGTCACCTTCATCAATTATCTTAGATCTTCTGGAGAACTTGCTGCAACATCTCCATCACCACTTGCTGCTTCACCTTGCACTTTTTATTTTGGAGACAGCTTCTTTCTATAACCTCATGAACCAACCTCTGCTAGCTTCCAACTGTAGCTTCCTCACCTCTCTTAGCCTTTATAGAACTGAAGAGAGTCAGGATTTGGCTCTGGATTAGGCTTTGGGTTAAAAGAATGTTCTGGCTGGTTTGATCCTTTATCCAGACCACTAAATCTTTCTCCATATCAGCAATAAGTCTGTTTCTCTTTTTTTTATCATTAGTATGTTCACTGAAATGGCACTTTTAATTTTCCTCAAGAACTATTCCTTTATATTCACAACTTGAGTAACTGGTGCAGAGGCCTGGCTTTTGACCTGTCTGGGCTTTTGACATGCCTTCTTCACTAAGCATAATCATTTCTAATTTTGTATTTAAAGTGAGAGACCTGTGACTCTTCCTTTCACTTGAACACTTATAAGGCATTGTAGGGTCATTAATTGGCCTAATTCCCATATCTTGCATTTCAGAGAGTAGGGAGCACAAAAAAGTGAGGTGCAAGTAAACAAGGTATGCCTGTACTTCAATGTATATTTCCTAAGAACAAAGACATTCTCTTACATGTCTACAAAATAATTATCCAAATCAAACATTTTAATATGATTACAATATCACCTAATATATCTAATGGACAATAGTCCATTGTCTTTTCTTTTCTTTTTTTTTTTTTTGAGTTGAAGTCTTACTCTGTCACTCAGACTGGAGTGCAGTGGCGCTCCCGGCCACCGCAGCCTCGACCTGCTGGGCTCCGGCGATCCTTCCGCCTCAGCCTTTCAAGTAGCCGGAATTACAGGCATGCGCTACCACGCCCGGCTGATTTTTTGATTTATTGTAGAGATGAGGTCTCGCTGCCCAGGCGGGTCTCGAACCCGCGGGCTCAGGCAATCCACTCACCTCAGCCTCCCAAAGGCGCGGGATTACAGGCTGAGCCACCGAGCCCGGCTCCGGCTTATCTTTCATAACATTAATACTTTTGAGTATTTTATGGGTCAGTCATCTAGATATTTCTACCTCAAAGACAGGTTATGCGCTTTTTTTGCATGAATGTTGTGCTGCTTCCTTTTCAGGGTATTATATTGAGAGGTACATGATGTCAGTTCCTTGTGTTTCTTGAGATGTCAGTCTTGATCATTTAGTTATGATGGCCCACCAAATTTCTCTGTTGCAAATTTCGTTTATCTTTGTAATTAATACATAATTTGTGGGAAGATATTTTGAGACTATGTAAATATGTTCATCACATGTTTACCTTCTAGTTTTAGCATCTTTTGATGATTCTCAGCTAAATCAATTGTTTTATTATAACAAAATGAATGTATAATACAATTCATTATTTTAAAGTATACAATTCAGTGGTTTTTGTATATTCACAAGGTCGTGCAACTACTATCACCACTAATTCCAGAACATTTTCAGCACCCCAAAAAGCAACCCTACACCCATTAGCAGTCAGTCCCTTTTCCTAGCTACCCTCGCTGCTGTCAACCACTAAGCTACTTCCTGTCTCTATTGATTTTCCTATTTCAGACATCTCATATAAATGGATCAAACAATACATGGTTTTTCGTGTCTGACTTCTTTAACTTGTTTTCAAGGTTCATCCATGTTGTCGTGGTTTTTATCGGTATTTCATTCATTTTTATTTGCCTAAATCAATTGTTACCATGATTCTTGAAAAATGATATTATAACTACATAATTCCCATCTACACTTATTAGGCAACATTATTTCTATCATCCTTTCTCAGGAAGCTCTCTAAGAAAACTGCACCAGTGAAGTTCATTTTAATCAACAATACTCCTTTGCTCTCAAGCTGTTACCAATCTCAGGTAAAAAGGCTACAACCACCACCTTTTTGGGGTTTACATGATCTCCCTTCACTTCCACTAGACTAGCACAGTTTTCCCAGAGGCCCCGCCCCGCGCCTCCAGGTGTCCCCTCCCCGGCGGCTGCAGGAGGAGGAAGTGACGCACCGGAAGTGTCCCTGTTCCCCTTGCAGTGGGGGAAGGAATCAAACCCCCAAGATGGCGGCGGCGGCGGAGGAGCGGATGGCAGAGGAAGGAGGCGGCGGCCACGGCGACGGCGGCTCCTCTTT